TCACGCCGTGGCGGCGCCTAATGGGCGGGCAACTGAGGACAAGAGGAGAGAGGGGAAGATATTCACCAGATATCGTAAAGGGGAAGAAGGAGGGGTGAGGAGAGGGGGAGAAGCCATGAGAGATCCTCCGCTGCAACGACTCCCACTACTTCGATAAGTTCGCCCTCTTGCTCCAACAATTCCTCTCTTTCAATATAAAACGCCCCAACACTCGGAGATCTCCGTGGCCCTTCGAGACGATAGCCGCGTCATCGGCTGGACCCAACTGTTGGAAATTAAAGACCAGGGACGGATACGTTTTATCTCCTTCGGAAGGATTCACCGGAATTTTTCGGTCGACGAAAAACTGCGGGAAAAATATTATCATTGTTCCCTTTAGAAGTTTTTGTGTTCATTTTTTGGCATCAATTGAATTTCATGATTCTTCTCATCAATATAGAGTTTAATAAACTCTACTCATTGACGCCAATTAAAATTCAATTTTTCATAGATTTGAAAAAATTGATATTTTTCCGAAAATCGATTTTTCAACGATCACTCAAAAATTGTCATTAAAATGGAATTAGTCAGGGCTCAAAAATTGATAACAATATCCTCTTGATTCCATCAGAATATGATGGGGGTCGCACAATTGGTTGTTGAGTTACAGCACATTGTTTACGCGATTTGAAAGAGAAAATCGGTTTTTTCATGATTACTGAAAGAATCATCAGTAGCAGGAATTAAATCAGGGCTTGAAAAGTATATTTCAATGGCTTCTTAATCAAGTTGAAAAATTGTGAGAACAGCATCATTGCTTATCGAGTTACACAATACCGTCATGAGCTTTTTAGATAAAAATCTCTATCTCTATTAAACTCAGGTGGCAGTCTATTATGTTGAATACTTATTCATATTGATTCGTGGTCCCGACTAACTCCTGACAGAACGTGGGTTAAACTCTGGCTAAATCCTGAATAAGCCCTGATTAAATCCCGGCTATACACTGATTAAACCTTGATTGAACCTCGATTAAACCCGGACTGAAAACGAATTCGAGTCCTGAGAGGGTCTGAATGTAAAATTATTCGACAGAACGAAATAATCCGCAAAATTCTGATGACATTTCAATTGATGATAGTACTATGACATGAAAAAATAGAAGAAAAGACTAGTGAAATAATAATTTGAAAAAATAAAACTCATTTATTTAAAAAATGCAATTGTCCACTTGTCCTTCCGATTAATGAGGGACTTTGGGCGGAGAACAAAGAGATGAAAACTTCGGATCAAATCTTTTCATCATTTTGGATCGGCGATAATTAATAAAACGACTTTCAACAATTGACGCGCGAGCGCGGATGATTGGAATGCGCGGGAATTTGTGGCGACAGAGAGGGAAAATTTACGAGAGGTTTTTTTTTATTTTACCTTGGGCATTGTTTCGAACGCTCGAGGTATTATACTCTGATTTTCATTCAGTAATTCAGCGGCAGCTGCGGACTAATAATAGTATCCGACGTCGACGTTCTTCACCTTTTCCCCCTCCCTTCGTTAGAACGTGGCTGTCTCTTTATACTCGATAGCCAATGGACCACATTGATTTACCTTCGGGAGTGAGTGAGGGGTTTTTGGGAACGTATTTATGCATATGGAGAGAATAATCGTTACATTTTTGGAGAGAAAATGCCGAGAGGCGTTGATTTATCGAGGGAGGGAGAAACGAGGATTTTCAATTTTTACGATTTTGCGAGTATCTCGAAAACACGTCGTCTTAGCAGAAAATGTCATATAACATTTTTTGTAGCTGACACAATTTCCCACAGAAAATGTTCTATAGCATTTGTCTCTAAACCTAGCCATTCAAAAGATATTTAAGCATCAAAAAAGATCTATTAACCATTCAAATCAATTTAATTCTTCGAAAGTAGTTTTACATTTTCGCATTTATTTTGGTAACTAGTAGTTTCACGATAAAATGTCATAAAATCATTTTTGTAGATGACGAAATTTCCCACAAAAAATGTTTCATGACATTTTATCGCAGAATCACTCGTTCCGCGGATAATTCACCGTTTATCACCGAAAAATTGAGGATTCTGTTGAACTTCAAGTTAGCATTCAGTTTCCATCGTCATGGTATTCCTCACGCGTTTCCCTTCATTCTCGCTGTTCACATAAGATTGAGAAGAGTGACCAATTGAAACAATGAGCGTCGACGCGTTATACTCCAGCATCACATTCGTTTCGAAACGTACGCGGATGGCTTTGATCAATCACTCCTAGTCCCTATGCATCAACTACGAATCCCCCGCCCCAAAATCATCGCGATCATCAGCTTCATTTCACCCATAAACAAATGAATGGACCCATTGAAGTGTGCGATAACGCGAGATAAATTGGAAGTGAACGTCTGAATAAAGTGACTCGTCGAAAAACGTTAGTATTTTATCGCTTCGAGTTTTTAAACCCGAAGAAACAAAGATACCGATTTGATGTTTCCGGTAACAAATGCCATTCAGATAAGCGCCGACATGCATCGGACACTCTCGGTGTTTCGTTACGCAGCGCTCGGTCTTGGAATTTAATAAATTTCAAGGAGAAAAAATGAGAAATTTCATCCCGTACATTTGGAGAACATGTAATGTGATAAGACTGGGGGCTTCATTTGAAGTGATTAGGTGGGACGGATCGTGATGAATGTCAGTGATATGGAGAAATTTTAATATTTGTTATTGTGGGATGACGAAGAGTGTCGAATATTTTTTTTTGGTTGAGAATTTTTTGGGGATTAAATTTCACGGGAAAAACGGCTTTGATAATTTTTTATAAAATGATTTCTGTTTTGTTACATTTTCCCACATTAATCACGACATTTTTTCAGTTCAATTATTCATTATTGGGGGATGATGAAGAATATTAAATTGTTTTTCTGGTTTGAGGATTTTTTTGAGAATTAAATTTCATAGGAAAAACGGCTTTGATAATTTTTTATAAAATGATTTCCGTTTTGTTACATTTTCCCACATTAATCACGACATTTTTTCAATTCAATTATTCATTATTGGGGGATGATGAAGAATATTAAATTGTTTTTCTGGTTTTAGGATTTTTTTGAGAATTAAATTTCATAGGAAAAATGGCTTTGATAACGATTAAAAAATTAACTTCAGTTTTGTTGTTTTCCGCATCAATTACAACATTTTTCTTTCCCTAAAATTCAAGAATGCCTCTTGAATAAATGATGAGAAAGATGAAAAATAAAAACATCGTATTGTCAACAAAAACGAATTTCAAGAATAAAATCGTGCAATCTTTGAATTTACTAAATTTCAAGGAGCAAAAAATGAGAAATTTCACCCTAAATATAAAAAAATAGGCAGTTTGATAAAAACGACTAGAATTTTTTAAATAAAAATTAAGTTTCACTAAAAAATATTAAAATTAATTTTTCGTTAAAATTTATATTCACATTTTATACTCATCTCTCGAACAAAAGATTTCAAACCTCAAAAAACTAATAAAGAAATGATTTAAAAAATGGACTTTCGGTCTATTACATTTTTTCCAGTTTAATAACCCCATCATCTCTTCAAAAATAATAATATTCACATGAATTACTTCAAAAAATGTAAAAATTTCAAAAACTGATAAAAAAATTTTTTCAAATCGACTTTTGTTCTATTAAATGTCCCCAGTCCCACCAGCCCCTCCCCCTCAAACCTGACCCCAAAGCTCCTAAAAAAAACCACCGCCATTACTCCTCCAAAAAATAAAAACCCCCAAAAACTCACCAAAAAGTCCGCAGTCCCACGGTTCCCCGAAGCCCCCGGGTGCCCTCGCGCAGCATCCACACCCCTGGACCCTGATTGCGCCCGTCGCGTACACGCAGGTAGGGGACGCACTCCCCGCAACCCACACACACAACTCCCCCACGTCCGCCGTCCCCCTCCACCAGACAGCGGTCCACCACCGGCGCTCCCCACCCCCCGCCCGCCAACAAGGACAAACCCGTCGACCAAACGTCGAAAAAATAAAGGACAGAATCCAGGTGGCGGGGGTGGGGGGACCGCCGACCCTACGATAAACACCGGGGGCGGTGGCTGTCCGCCATCACCGTCCACACACTCTCACCGGATCACCCAATCGTCCTCCTTCATACCTATCAGACCTCTCTATCTGCCTGTCTCCCCCCCCCCTCTCCTGCCGGTCCCTCTCGCCCCGCCGCTCGCTCATCCCGTCACATGTGTTAGTTAGAAAACCTCCGCGGTAGTAACCGGTGCGCCTTCCACTCTACACTCACCTCTCTAGATGGTTTAGTCAAACTGCATCAGTGAATTTGTCCGCTTTAGCTCCTCCAAATATCAGCTCTTCTAATCGTCTGCCATGTCCTAGCCACCGGATCCCCCCGACAAAAATCATCCCGCACTCTTCAGTTTTTTTTTCTCGTTTTCCCCCCACCCCCTCCCCACCCGCAGCCCTCCCCCGCCCACTGGTTTTTCCACCCCCTCGGTCCCCGGTATTTTGATTTTCCCCGTTTTGGTGTTTTCCATGAGCCAGTGTTTCGAGTAAATTGTGGATTATTACGTGGAAATTAGTGGTGATGCCTCTTGCGGATACAAGACACTGTGGCTGCTGGATTTCACTGGAGATGAGGTTCTGATTGTGTGTGTGTGTGTGAAGGGGGGGAAGATAATTGGCACGGGCCGACGACCGGAGTTTATTTTTTATTTTTATTGTGAACGGGATGTGCGTGTGGGAAATTCAAGTGTGATCGGGGCATCGGGATTTCGATTGTTGAGGGCTCTTCGGGGTTTTTTTGGAGACGCACTCGGCCATTCTTGATACTCCGCACCGCCCCTTCTGCCTTACCGACGAGATAAAACGCCCGGGAGATGATAAAGATTTTTGGGGGCGATATTGGGGATTTTTGGAGGGGACACGGACACGGGATTTGATGGTCACGGCGACGACGAAACCCTCGGCCTGTGGGCATCTTCGGAGCTGGGATTTTACGGGCATTTCCTGCACGCGAAGGACAACCCGCCAAGGAGGATGCTAGAGGGATCGTGAGAGGATTGACGATTTTTTTGGGGATTTTTTTTTTCGACGGATACAACGACTTCGGGGAGATCGCGGGAGTTAATATGAGCATGACTCTCGTGCGAAACACGTTTAAAGGTTTGTTGGCTTTATTGATGGGCTATTTTGGGTTGGGGGGGAGGGGGGAGGGTTTTTGGAGGGGGTTTATTTATTTTAAAAAAGATCTGGGGGTTTTTTGTCGAGGGAAACGGGTATTGAGGGAAATCTGGGGGTTTAAAGGGCGATGAGTCGGGAGTGGCAGAGGGAAAGTGAGGGATTTTTTTTTATTTTTGAAGAGGGTTTTTTAGGGTTTGAAATGAGCGGTGAGTGGTTCAAATCGGGTCATTTGTTCCTGGGATATTGAGAAATTAGAAAAAGTGGTTCTGAGTCAATGAAACAATGAACTTTTTTTTATTTTGATAATTATGCGTTTATCTCGGAAACGAGGGGTTTTGGGAGAAAATTTTATAGGAAATTTTTTGTAGCTAATGAAATTTTCGACAAAAAATGTGTTTGCAATTTTTTTGTGGAAGCACTCGTTACAAAGAAAAATTGAGATTTAGAAAGATGAAAATATTTGTTTACTGATCAAAATAAGGGAGAGAAAAATAGACTGGAATAGACTTTTGAAATGTGGAAACCTCGGGATTGGCAGAGGGAAAGTGAGGGTTTTTTTTTTATTTTTGAAGAGGGTTTTTTAGGGTTTGAAATGAGCGGTGAGTGGTTCAAATCGGGTCATTTGTTCCTGGGATATTGAGAAATTAGAAAAAGTGGTTCTGAGTCAATGAAACAATGAACTTTTTTTTATTTTGATAATTATGCGTTTATCTCGGAAACGAGGGGTTTTGGGAGAAAATTTTATAGGAAATTTTTTGTAGCTAATGAAATTTTCGACAAAAAATGTGTTTGCCATTTTTTTGTGGAAGCACTCGTTACAAAGAAAAATTGAGATTTAGAAAGATGAAAATATTTGTTTACTGATCAAAATAAGGGAGAGAAAAATAGACTGGAATAGACTTTTGAAATGTGGAAACCTCGGGATTGGCAGAGGGAAAGTGAGGGATTTTTTTTTATTTTTGAAGAGGGTTTTTTAGGGTTTGAAATGAGCGGCGAGTGGTTCAAATCGGGTCATTTGTTCCTGGGATATTGAGAAATTAGAAAAAGTGGTTCTGAGTCAATGAAACAATGAACTTTTTTTTATTTTGATAATTATGCGTTTATCTCGGAAACGAGGGGTTTTGGGAGAAAATTTTATAGGAAATTTTTTGTAGCTAATGAAATTTTCGACAAAAAATGTGTTTGCAATTTTTTTGTGGAAGCACTCGTTACAAAGAAAAATTGAGATTTAGAAAGATGAAAATATTTGTTTACTGATCAAAATAAGGGAGAGAAAAATAGACTGGAATAGACTTTTGAAATGTGGAAACCTCGGGATTGGCAGAGGGAAATTGAGAGATTTTTTTTTTATTTTTGAAGAGGGTTTTTTAGGGTTTGAAATGAGCGGTGAGTGGTTCAAATCGGGTCATTTGTTCCTGGGATATTGAGAAATTAGAAAAAGTGGTTCTGAGTCAATGAAACAATGAACTTTTTTTTATTTTGATAATTATGCGTTTATCTCGGAAACGAGGGGTTTTGGGAGAAAATTTTATAGGAAATTTTTTGTAGCTAATGAAATTTTCGACAAAAAATGTGTTTGCCATTTTTTTGTGGAAGCACTCGTTACAAAGAAAAATTGAGATTTAGAAAGATGAAAATATTTGTTTACTGATGAAACTAAGGGAGAGAAAAATAGACTGGAATAGACTTTTGAAATGTGGAAACCTCGGGATTGGCAGAGGGAAATTGAGGGATTTTTTTTTTTATTTTTGAAGAGGGTTTTTTAGGGTTTGAAATGAGCGGTGAGTGGTTCAAATCGGGTCATTTGTTCCTGGGATATTGAGAAATTAGAAAAAGTGGTTCTGAGTCAATGAAACAATGAACTTTTTTTTATTTTGATAATTATGCGTTTATCTCGGAAACGAGGGGTTTTGGGAGAAAATTTTATAGGAAATTTTTTGTAGCTAATGAAATTTTCGACAAAAAATGTGTTTGCCATTTTTTTGTGGAAGCACTCGTTACAAAGAAAAATTGAGATTTAGAATGATGAAAATATTTGTTTACTGATGAAACTAAGGGAGAGAAAAATAGACTGGAATAGACTTTTGAAATGTGGAAACCTCGGGATTGGCAGAGGGAAATTGAGGGATTTTTTTTTTAATTTTTGAAGAGGGTTTTTTAGGGTTTGAAATGAGCGGTGAGTGGTTCAAATCGGGTCATTTGTTCCTGGGATATTGAGAAATTAGAAAAAGTGGTTCTGAGTCAATGAAACAATGAACTTTTTTTTATTTTGATAATTATGCGTTTATCTCGGAAACGAGGGGTTTTGGGAGAAAATTTTATAGGAAATTTTTTGTAGCTAATGAAATTTTCGACAAAAAATGTATTTGCCATTTTTTTGTGGAAGCACTCCTTATTAAGAAAAATTGAGATTTAGAAAGATGAAAATATTTGTTTACTGATGAAAATAAGGGAGAGAAAAATAGACTGTTTTGACATGTGGAAAACTCGGGATTGGCAGAGGAAAATTGAGGGATTTTTTTTTCATTTTGAATGGGGTTTTTTAGGCTTTTAAATGAGCTCTGACTGATCCAAATCGTATCATTTGTCCAGTAGATATTGACAAACTAGAATAAAACCGTCTACTTCGTCAAAACTATTTCAACAATTTTTTCGTCTCAACATTTCTGCATTTATCTCATAAACAATTGATTCTCTGAAAAAATATCATAAAACATTTTTTGTAGCTGATAAAATTTCCAATAAAAAATTGCTTGTGATATTTTTCTCTAAATCTCCTCAATACCGAGATATTTAAGCCCTGAAAAGAATCAGAAATTGAATTGATGAATTTCACCTTCTGAAGATCGTCTCGAATTCTCTCCCACAAAAATCATCACGTAACATGTAGCACTGTTCACCACTGATTTAAACTCCATTCATGCATTACAATCATTCCGTAATAATGACACTTGTTTTGATCGATCAGATATCCACGTGCATACGAAAGGTCTCGCGTGTGGTCACGGTTTCATCATGAATTTAGCACATGAGATATCATTCCTAGTTCTTGATAACGAGACTATGCTAATGCTCACCCACTCTCTGAATTCCAACCAGTACTAGACTAAAAAGTGAGTCAAACTACAAAAAAAAAAATGCCCTATGAATCCCCAAATGAATGGAACAATTTCTCTTTCGTGTCGAAATTTTTTTCAGATTCCAAAATTAATCCCGATTTATCCAAATCATTTAAGAAGACTCGTTCCACCTAATTGTTTACTTCAGTCTCTCGAATAAAAATGCCTCTAAGCATTCATTGAATTAATAACATTCCCAATTCGTTCAGAAAAAATAAAGATCATCATTATAAATTGGCAGATGATTATTCCAGACTTCTCTCGTTCCATTTTCCTTGAAACTTCTCTCGATTTGTCACCTTCATTCCACACATACGTAATTCGAGATAGACTAATGAGAATCCCAGGCAAAGGTCACACGGGGTCAGATAATAAATATGAAACCATTACGATTTTAAGTTGAAAACGAATAACACAAATGAGTGATGCCGGTTACCTATTCGAAATAGGGGTGTGAGGGGGATAAATTAATTTCTTTAGTCGTAGATAGCGTGAGATCGGCTGAGTGAAGTTGAGCAATTTTTATTTTATTTTTGAAGGTATTTTTTCGAAGTTTAAAATGAGACGTGACTCGTCCGAATCGCATCGTTTGTTCAGGAGATATTGAGGATTTAGGAAGGGATGTTTTATGTTTAGAATATTTTGAGGAAATTTCGCCGGAGAGATGGATTGGATTTAGGGGAATCTAGGGGTGTTCGAGCATTTTCAAGTCTTGAGTGAACTTGCTCGCCCTTGAAAAAAGGTTGTTTGCATGATTGTTTGACCCTTGAGCCCTCAAGAATTCTCGAAATTGAATTTTTCGCCGGCTAATGGATGAAACTGAAACGAGTGGAAGATTAGATTTCGGGGAATCTAGGGGTGTTCAAGCATTTTCAAGTCAGAGTGAACATGTTCGCGCTTGAAAAAAGTTTGTTCACATGATTGTTTGACCCTTGAGCCCTTAAGAATTCTCGAAATTCAATTTTTCGCTGGGTAATGGATGAAACTGAAACGAGTGGAAGATTAGATTTCGGGGAATCTAGGGATGTTCAAGCATTTTCAAGTCAGAGTGAACATGTTCGCGCTTCAAAAAAGTTTGTTGACATGATTATTTGACCCTTGAACCCTCAAAAATTCCATGAATTGGTTGTTCCACTGGCTAGAGGCTATAACTAGCGGAAGATTCGCCAGTGGCAGATTCAGTTTAGGGGAATCTAGGGGTGTTCAAACATTTTTAATTCCTTGCAAACTTGTTCGCACTTGAAAAAAGTTTGTTCACATGATTGTTTGACCCTTGAGCCCTTAAGAATTCTCGAAATTGAATTTTTCGCCGGCTAATGGATGAAACTGAAACGAGTGGAAGATTAGATTTCGGGGAATCTAGGGGTGTTCAAGCATTTTCAAGTCAGAGTGAACATGTTCGCGCTTGAAAAAAGTTTGTTCACATGATTGTTTGACCCTTGAGCCCTTAAGAATTCTCGAAATTCAATTTTTCGCTGGGTAATGGATGAAACTGAAACGAGTGGAAGATTAGATTTCGGGGAATCTAGGGATGTTCAAGCATTTTCAAGTCAGAGTGAACATGTTCGCGCTTCAAAAAAAATTGTTGACATGATTATTTGACCCTTGAACCCTCAAAAATTCCATGAATTGGTTGTTCCACTGGCTAGAGGCTATAACTAGCGGAAGATTCGCCAGTGGCAGATTCAGTTTAGGGGAATCTAGGGGTGTTCAAACATTTTTAATTCCTTGCAAACTTGTTCGCACTTGAAAAAAGTTTGTTCACATGATTGTTTGACCCTTGAGCCCTTAAGAATTCTCGAAATTGAATTTTTCGCCGGCTAATGGATGAAACTGAAACGAGTGGAAGATTAGATTTCGGGG